ATTAAAAACAAGCTTTTTATTCTCCATCAATTCTTCAATAACTATTCCATTTTAATAATTTTTACTGTCCCATAACGAACTATGTGCGTTAAAATCACCACACCAAACAACCTTTCCATTTAAAAAATTATCAAATTCATTCAATGTTTCATACCGGATCCTTTTCCCAGGATTATAAAAATGTATTACTTTAATACTTTCCTTCTTATACCAAACTTCTACAACTATATACTCTAACTGAACTCCTTTTGCTAATAATCTAAACTGAATTCCTGTTTTTAGAAATATCATACAACCCCCTCCATGAATCTCACTTCTGTCTCTACGTACACCAGTATATCCTTTAATAACAAAATCTAAATTAGGTTTAAGCCAGGTTTCCTGTATACAAATGATGTCTGGTTTTTTCCTAAGATTTTTAATGAATCCCAGTCCTTTATTAATATGCTTCCATGAAATATCTTTGATTCCAAAGAACTTCTCCGCTCCTTTTACTATTATTTTAATTTTCTCGGTTTTGTATTTGACTTGATCTGCACAATTAATCACATATGCAATAAATAACATAATCTTTTCAACTGTAATCACAGGTTCAGTTCTCTCTGTAGATGTTATCTGAGGATTGGGTTTTTGTTGAACATTTATCTGCGTCCTTTCAGCCTGTCCTTCCACCCTTTTTACAGCTTCAGCATAACTGATATTGTTGCTCGTCTTAGTTTTTTCCACTTCAATGGCTTTCTTTCTAACTTCACACCCCCCAAAACTCACTCCATGTTGGCCCCCACAATTACAACACTTATCTTGAACATTTTCTCCACATTCCTCATATTTATGATCACCTCCACATTTTGGACACCTTTGTTTGCCTCTACATACTGCCGCTATATGCCCGTATCTTTGACATTTGTAGCACCTGAGTGGTGGAGGAATGTAAGGCCTAACTGGAAAGCTAATGAATCCGATCTTAATCCTGTCTGGAAGAATATTTTCTTGAAATTCTATCATTACTGATGGACTTTCAGCTCTTTCACCATTTATCGTTTCCAACAATCTCTTTATCTGAATTACCTCCACATCCTGAATGCCCTTTTTAAGTTTTTCTAAATCTTCGTTTACAGGTATTCCTGTTATCATTCCCCTCATTACTTTCTTTTCTCCAATAATCCTTTTTTCTTTCACATTTTTTCTG